GATTAGATGCAATGTCAATAACTTTACAACCATTAGTTTCAAACATGACATTGAATCCTTTATCACAAAATTGACTAATGCTCAAAAGATTATGCTTTAATCCATTCACATGTAAAACATTTCTAATTTGTATGGAAGAGATATTATCTATTGTACCTATACCTTTGATGTGACCTTTTGAATTATCACCAAAAGTTAATTCTCCTCCATTTTTGGCGTTAAGCTCTATGAACCGGCATTTATCTCCGGTCATGTGTCTTGAGCATCCACTATCAAGGTACCATGAGTTTGAATTTGTTTCCTGTGCCTTGTAGCAATGCTCCTTTTCCTACAAACATAGATTAATTTTTTATTTTTGGTACCCAAATTCTTTTGGGTCCATATTCATTAGTTTCAAAAATCATAGTCCCCTTAGGTATCCATTTGTGTAGGATATCCTTAAATTTAGTAGTAATGAGTCCTTTAGGAACCCATATACTTCTAACATTTTTTTCATTAGAGGTTCTTTGGGGACCTCTATGATTGTAGTTTTTAAAACTTTTTCTAACAAAATTGATTTATGAATTTTATCCTTTTTTCAAAACGTTTTGATCCAACTTTATCAAAGAAGCTTTAAGATCATCAATTTTCTTTTGATGATCATCATTGACCTTTGAAAGTAAATTTTGAAAATCCGAATTTTTCTTTTCGTACTCTTCTAGTTTGATTTTCAAATATTTGATTTTACTTTCAAGACCGTTGTTGTTTTTGGATATGAGTTTATTTTCATTTTTCAATTTTGAAATATCGTTTTTATATTTTAAAAATAACTTCTCATAATCCAAAGCCAACCCATTATATTCCTCTAATAACTCATCATAAGATAAATCATCTAAATCAAATGAGTTAGAGATTAACTTAGAATCTTCCCCTAATGCCATCAAGCACAAGTTTGCTACTTCTTGTTCCTCTTCATTGGAACCTTCTTCATCACTCGATGTAGCCACATGAGCCTTGTGCTTATTATTTGATTGACCCTTTCCCTTCAATTATGGGCAATCATATTTGACATGCCCTGGTTTTTTACATTCATTGCAAATGATCAGGTCCTTATCTTTCGGTTCATTTTTGAAGCCTTCATTTCATTTGAATTTTCTTCCTCGGTTAGGCCTCATCATTTTTCGAAACAGTTTGGCAAAAAATGCCATTTCCTCATCATCGTCATCTTCATCTGAGCCACTTTCATCTTTTGTTGATTTAAGAGCAACTCCCATGTTCTTCTTCTTCTCCGTCTCCTTCTTTGGCTCGTCTCTTTTCTCAAGATCTTCCTCTTCTCTAAGCATCATTTCATGCGTGAGGAGAGAGCAAATAAGTTCATCGAGGGTCAAGGATTTCAAGTTCTTAGCCTCGATGATCTTCGTCTTCTTTGATTGCCAAGCTTTTAGAAGAGAGTAAACTAACTTCCTCACAAGCTTGACATTTGGAATGATTTCTCCATATGATTTGAGATTATTGACAATCGTGGAGAATCTATCCATCATAGCTTTGACATATTCATCCTGTTTCATCCTGAAATTTCCATAACTATGAGTTAGAATACTAATTTTAGATTCTTTTACCTCGTTTGTACCTTCATGAGTGACTTGTAGTTTGTCCCATATCTCCTTGGTGGCTGTGCAAGATGAAACTCTCCCGTATTCATCTGGTCCAAGAGCACAAAAGATAATATGGATAACTTTGGAGTTGAGTTAGAAAATTCTTGTCTCTCATTCACTCCACAACCTTGGGTGAGTGGAGGGTTTGATGTATCCATCTTCTATGATATTCCATGCTCCCATGTAACTTGCTTGAATGAAATACATCATCCTATTCTTTCAATAAACATAATTAGCTCCATTGAAGAAATGAGGCTTGTTAACGGGCAATGAATCGAGACCGAAGTCAGAGTTTAAAGTGCCATCCATTGATGACTTTGAAAATCGATGTAACTCTTCCAGAATCGACTCAAGAGGTGATTAAACCTTTAAATGAGTGAGGCTCTGATACCAATTGTTGAGTTAATCGATTGATGGAATTGGCCAAGAGGGGGTGAATTGGCAAATAAAAATATCGGTGGAAGCTTTGCAGAAAATTGAAAGTAATTGCGCAGTAATTTAGAGTGGTTTGACTTTCTCAACCAAAGTCTGCGTCCACTAACTTAGCTATCCACACTAAGGATTTTCCACAAATTCACTAATTTTTCTTTCTTTTGAGGACAAAGAGTAACCTTACAAATCCCTCAAGAATTATACCCCAAATTATTGAGAACACTCTATCCCAAAGAGAACAATACAAATTTTGCAAACTTACAAGAAATTCCTCACAAGGTAAGATGTTTGCACAATTCTAGAACAAAGAAAGAACACTAAAGAATAATACAATTGAGCACAATAAGTGTTCTTGAAAGCAAAATTGAATATTGAATGAAATAGGCTTGAAAATGCTCAAACTTGAGGTTTGGTGCTTTCTCTTTGATTATCTCTTTATTCTTGTTTATTGTTGTTTCTTGTTCTTGATCAAAGTCTTCTAAGCTTGTTTAAATACTCCTTCAATTGATTCTGAACGTTGGAGATGATTAGTGGAGTTAATGGAGCCGTTTAGTGTGAAATCAATTAATAAAACAACATGGAGCGTGGGGGAATCGATACCCCCTAATAGGGAATCGATTCCCTAAGTGTAAAATTTAAATATTTTGACCGTTGAACAGGGGGAATTTGTACCCCCTTGGGGGGAATCGGTTCCCTCTGAGCATTCTGTTTGTCTCAGAGCCAAACCATTCAGGGGGAATCGGTTCGCTCTGGACAATATGTAATTTTTGGCTTTGAAACGGTTTGAAATACTTTGTTAAATTGTTTTGAAATTATTTTAAGATTAAAACTTAATTTTACACTTGAGTAAGGATTAAAAATGACATTTGAAAGATTTGGAGTAATATTTTGATATTTGAATAATTATATCGAATATAAGTAGAAGTTCTTTTGGAAAATCTTCAAATTCATTTATGTTAATTTGTTATATCGAAATATCAAAATGTTTTCAACACCATCTCCCCGCTGCACCTTTTCCCGGTCTCCCCCATTTTTGCCACTATCCATGGCTATGGGTCTGGACTACACAACGCTCTTTGGCTTGACATTTGCAAGCTCATTTGGTGTTCCGACTACAACTATGGCTTCCAAAAGTCTCTGGGCAACACCTTTCTCTTCCCTGAGCATCGCCCCTGGTCTAAGTCCTTCCAAGAAGGTCTTGAGCATACCCCATTCACTCATTGCTCCCTTGCATATGAGCAGCTCTCTCTTGAGCTCATCCACCTCGTTCCTCAAAGCCGTTACCTCAGCTTCTTGGGCATTACTCCCTCGAACCGTCTCAAACTCGTTTAGAACTCGTTGCGTCTCGACCTTGAATCTACCCTCCATGGACTCCAATCTATCAAGGCGGGACTCCACAACACCCTGGGTCTGGTTGGCCTCATCCTCAGCTTTCTCAAGTCTCTCGACCCTTTCTTCCCACGAAGTTGAAACTTGTTCCATCTTGAAGAGCTTCCTTGCGTGGTCACCAAAACCATCCATCAAGTAAGCCCATTTCTCATCGATCGTCAGTTATTCTTGTTCCTCGTGAAGTCTCTCCTCCTCTTCATGAGTGAACGTGTCATCTCGCTCGGACATGCCTTCGATGTCACCCTTGGGCCTCTCTACTTCGAGAACCAACTCCCCTTGGTGTACTATAGTTGCTTCAAGCATTCCTTGCGAACTCATCACGGCATCCCCATGCTTGGACACCAACGATGCTCTCAAGCCCACCAAACTCTCTTCTTGTTTCCCACCATGGCTCTTATTGCCTTTACGTGCGAAAACTCCTTTTCTCTTGTGCCCCACCTCAATTATCAAATTAAATTAAACAAAGAGTAAGTAAACATAATTTACCCAGTTTCGCACCTTCCACTAAACTCGGTCCAAACGATCATTGTCTGCTCGCAACGACTCGCTCTGATACCACTTGTCACGCCACCAGAGCTTCGACGCCTCAAACCATCGAAATATCAGAATCAATTTCTGACAGGTCGTGCGGCTTTAGACGCTTTAAACTTACCAGGTCCAGACATAATAAGGATTGACAAATTGAGAGATCTTTCTTGATTCTATGGGTGGTAGTGTATGGCCGTTCTTAGTTGGTGGAGGGATTTATTTGGTTAATTCCATTAACGAATGAGACCTCATCCTGCTAACTAGCTACACGAAGGTGATCCTCCGTGGCTAGATTCTTAGAGGGACTATGGCCGCTTAGGCTAAGGAAGTTTGAGGCAATATCAGGTCTGTGAAGCCTTTAGATGTTATGGGCCGCACGGGCCCTACACTGATGTATTCAACGAGTCTATAGCCTTGGTCGACAGGCCTGGGTAATCTTTGAAATTTCATCGTGATGGGGATAGATCATTGCAATTATTGGTCTTCAACGAGGAATTCCTAGTAAGCGCGAGTCATCAGCTCGCGTTGACTACGTCCCTGCCCTTTGTACACACCGCCCGTTTCTCCTACCAATTGAATGATCCGGTGAAGTGTTCGGATCGTGGAGACATGGGCAGTTCGCTGCCCGCGACGTCGTGAGATGTCCACTGAACCTTATCATTTATAGGAAGGAGAAGTTGTAACAAGGTTTCCGTAGGTGAACCTGTGGAAGGATCATTGTTGAAACCTTCCTAGCAGAACGACCCACGAACACGTTATCAAATAACAACTGGAGGGGGACTGGTCGCGTAATTGCCCCTAGACCCCTTTACGTCTCGGAGCACTGGGATCGCTTGCTCCTGCATGCACTTCGTTCTATTGGGTGGCACGATCGGATGTCTCCGAGGTAAAACGAACAACCCTCGGCGTGAATAGCGACAAGGAATTAGAATGAAAAGCCGGTCGTGTCCTATCCTCACCCCGTTCGCGATGTGCGTGTGACATATATATGCCTGCTTTGCCGTGAAAATAGAAAACGACTATTGACAACAAATATCTCAGCTCTCGTATCGATGAAGAACGTAGAGAAATGCGATACTTGGTGTGAATTACAGAATCCCGTGAACCATCAAATCTTTGAACGCAAGTTACGCCACAAGCCGTTAGGCCGAGGGCACGCCTGCTTGGGTGTCACATATCTTTGCCCCCATCCGAACTAGAACTATAGGGTATCGGTCAAGGTGTGAGCGTAAATTGGCCTCCCGTGCGTAAAATGCTCAAGGTTGGTCTAAAATTGAGTACACGGGGTCACGGGGTCATGGTGCCACGTCGATCGGTGGTAATGCCTTGAGTATCCTCATTCTGAGTCGTACGAGCTCGTCGATATGGACTCTATGATCCTCTTGGCATCTCACTTGCGGTGCTCGCATCGTGACCCCAGGTCAGGCGAGACTACCCGCTAAATTTAAGCATATTGTCACGCCCTTAGAACTTCGACACCTCAAATCGTCGGTATATCAGAGTCAAGGTCTGACGGGTCGTGCGACCTTAGACGCTCCTCGATCTTCTCTATGACTAAGTAAGCCTTACCCAAGCCTAGTGAGCGTGCAAACTCACAAAGGTTGGAATCAAGCCCTCAAGGCTTCGGATTACGAAAGCTTTAAACACCAATGTGGCTACTTCGAACCACAAGGTCGGACTATCGTATAGAAGTGCTAACACGAAGGTGGCTACTCTTGGCCACCAAGATAGGCAACAAGAACAAAGAACTAAAGAACTTAGAAAGAATAGAGCAAATGCCTCAGAGCTATATTACTCTCTCACAAAGAGAAGAATGGAACTGGGTGATTACAAATGAGGAGGAGAGCTCTCTATTTAAAGTTGAGCTCCCTCTCAATCGATGGCCAAGATCGTTTTACATAAAAAGCTAAGATTGATTCTCACCTAATCACATCCCTTAATTTAAGGAAATCCCACCTAACATTATCCTTCTAGAATCCTCTAAGGAATAGGCCAGATCTGATGGTTCTGGGTAAACCTAATAGTCTGTATTATTCTCTTACAGATATCTGCACACATGCCTCGGTTCGAATCCACAAGCCTCGCTTCTCTCGGATGCATCGGAATAGATCCTTCATGGACTTGTTAAGCATTCTCCAAGAATTGGTTAAGTCTGGTGATCTTGGTAAGCCCGATACTCCGTATTAAACCTCTTTGTCGGACGCTTACACCAATGTCTCAGACCCAAGTTTCTAGCCCATGACAATATCACTAAGCGGAGGAAAAAAAACTTACAAGGATTCCCTTAGTAACGACGAGCGAACCGGGAAGAGCCAAGCTTAATAATCGATCGCCCTTGGCGTTCGAATTGTAGTATGAAGAAGCGTCCTCAGCGACGGACCGGGCCCAAGTCCCCTGTAAAAGGGTACCGTAGAAGGTGAGAGCCCCGTCGTGCCCGGACCCTGTCACACCATGAGGCGCTATCTACGAGTTGGTTGTTTTGGAATACAGCCCTAATCGGACGGTAAATTCTGTCCAAGGCTAACTACAGGCGAGATACTGATAGCAAACAAATACCACAAGGGAAAGATAAAAAGGACTTTGAAAAGAGAGTCATAGAGTGCTTGAAATTGTCAGGAGAGAAGCAGATGGGGGCCGGTGATCTGCTCCGGTCGGATGTGGAATTACGACAGCCGGTCCACCGATTGGCTCGGGGCATGGACCGATGCGGATCATGGTGGCGGCCCAAGGCCGAGCCTTTGATATGCTCGTGGAGACGACATTACCTCGATCGTGGAACCTAGCACGCGCCGTCTCGGTGTGGTTCGGTATCGGCGTGCTCAGGGTGTCGGCCTACGGGCTCCCTATCCGGCCCGTCTTGAAACACGGACCAAAGAGTCTGACATTTGTACGAGTCAACGGTAGAAAACCCGTAAGGCGCAAAGAACCTAATTGACAGGATCCTTCACGGGTGCACCGCTGACCGACCTTGATCTTCTGAGAAGGGTTCGAGTGAGAGCATGCCTGACAGGACCCGAAAGATGGTGAACTATGCATGAGCAGGGCAAAGCTAGAGGAAACTCTGGTGGAGGCCCGCAGCGATACTGACATGCAAATCATTTGCTTGACTTCAGTATAGGGGCGAAAGACTAATCAAACCGTCTAGTAGCTGGTTCCCTCCGAAGTTTCCCTTAGGATAGCTAGAGCTCTTAGCGAGTTCTATCGGGTAAATCCAATGATTAGAGGCATCAAGGATGCAACACCCTCGTCCTATTCTCAAACATTAAATAGGTAGGACGGCGCGACTGCTTCGTTGAGCCGTGCATGGTGTCGAGAGCTCCAAGTGGGACATTTTTGGTAAGCAGAACTAGCGATGTGGGATGAACTAGAAGCTGGTGGTCATGGAAGTAGAAATCCGCTAAGGAGTGTGTAACAACTCACCTGCCGAATTAACTAGCCCCGAAAATGGATGGCGCTTAAGCGCGTGACCTATACCCAGCCGTCGGGGCAAGGGCCAGGCCCCGATGAGTAGGAGGACTAGGCGGTCACTGTAAAACCTGGGGTGTGAGCCCGGGCAGAGCAGCCGTCAGTGCAGATCTTAGAGGTAGTAGAAAATATTCAAATGAGAACTTTGAAGGCTGAATAGGGGAAAGGTTCCATGTGAACGACACTTGTACATGGGTTAGTCGATCCTAAGAGACGGGGGAAGCCCATCTGAGAGCGCATTCGCGCGAGTTTCGAAAGGGAATCGGGTTAAAATTCCTGAATCGGGACGCAGTGGTTGGTGGCTGGCGGCAACGTTAGGGAGTCCGTAGATGTCGGCAGGGGCCTCGAAAAGAGTTATCTTTTATCTTTAACGGCCTGCCCACCCTGGAAATGGTTCAGTCGGAGGTAGGGTCCAGTGGCCAGAAGAGTGCCGCACGTCGCGTGGTGTTCGATGCGCCCCTGTCAGCCCTAGAAAATCTGGAGGACCAAGTGCCTTTCGCGCCCGGTCGTACTCATATATGCATCAGGTCTCCAAGGTGAACAACCTCTGGTCGATGGAACAATGTAGTCAAGGAAGTTGGCAAAATGGATCTGTAACCTCGGGAAAAGGATTGGCTCTGAGGGCTGGACATGGGGGTCCTAGTCCCGAACCCATCGGCAGTCGGTACACTGCTCGAACAGCTCTTTCGGGGGCCTTCCCCAGGCGACGAACAGTTGACTTAGAACTGGTACGGACAAGGGAAGTCCGACTATTTAATTAAAACAGAGCATTGCGATGGTCCCTACGGATGCTCATGCAATGTGATTTCTGCCCAGTTCTCTGAATGTCAAAGTGAAGAAATTCAACCAAGCGCGGGTAAACGACGGGAGTAACTATGACTCTCTTAAGGTAGCCAAATGCCTCGTCATCTAATTAGTGACGTGCATGAATGGATTAACGAGATTCCCACTGTCCCTGTCTACTATCCAACGAATCCACAGCCAAGGGAATGGTCTTGGCAGAATCAGTGGGGAAAGATTGAGCTTAACTCTAGTCCGACTTTGTGAGGGAACCTCGCACAGCGTCTGGCGGGGCGTACGGCCCCTGGTGCGTGGAGAAGGAAGTGTCCGCATTTCATACATTTCAATGTCTACTGGTAGCATTTTGCCTAAGTTCTTTTATCCCTGGGGTTCTGACCGCAACATGACCCGACGCTACCCACGGTCCCATACCGGCCACCGGAGCCCCCCACCACCGGCAAGGTTCCCAGTGGTGCCCCAGCGACGCTCCAGCGAGGTATAATCAGAACTCCGATAAGTCCCAAATAATGGAAAACGCCCTACGCCCTTGGAAATGGATAAATCGAAAAGCACTAGAGCCCCGAAAGTTTAAATTGATGGATGGCCTCGATGAATGGTGGGAAATAATGGAAATTAGTTACGGTCTACAACCGAGATAATTCTCAGACGATGGAAAATGACCCTCCCCTCCCCTATTGAAATGGGGAATTCTGAAAGCGGTAATTCCCCGACCGAGACTTCGATGGATGTCCTCAACAAAGGGTCAAACCAACGAACAATACTTACGGGTAAGCACTTGGATACGGGGATGTGGGCTGGCACCCCCTCCCACACCCCGGAGGGTGTGGGCCTCGCCACCTCACGGGGATGAGGTAACACCTAGCGCTAGCACAGGTCATCCCCCCTCACCGGTGGGGCTAGTCAGACATGGTAGCTAGAAGGACGTGATAGAGTTAATGGTCGGTGCGCCCGATACTCATGCACCTCTTCCCCATATCATGGGCGAGGTATCAACTCGGAGTGGTGTAGCACCCACCTGTGCATTGGTCATTGTCTTTCCAGGGGTACGCATCAGACTCGATAGAAGCCTCGAGCGAGTTATGCTGCAAGCCTACCCCTCATCAAAGCAACTGGACAACCCTTTTCTCCACTCAAACTCAAAGAGCCCTCTTCCAAAAAAAAACCTTATCCACCCCCGGAATAAAAGGCCATCCCTTTCCTCTAAATCTAAAAAAGGCCACCCCTTTCCTCTAAAACCAAAAAAGGCCACCCCTTTCCTCAAAAACTAAAAAAGGCCACACACCCCACCCTAAAAAAAGGCTTCGCAACAAGGCCGTTAAATATTTGAACCAAAACAAACTTGTGGCTGTTGGTTGCTTTCGTGATGGGAAATTGGTGGGTATACTTGCCTATGTCTAGTTTTCGTGCCAAGCGGTTGTGCTGTGCCCTCGTTCATTGTTTCCTCTACTCCTCGGCCAAGTCATTGGTCGTGTGGGTTGTGGACAAGTGGGCGTGGATGCTACTACTCTTACGTAATGGATATGTGAGTGGTGATATGGTTGTGTGTGTCGGCAGGCTCCATTCTAAATGCATCGAACAATCGAGCCGTACTCCACTTCAATGTCTCCCCTTGCGGTCTTCGAACCCAAGGGGTGCGATTGGGATCATGTGTTGCGTACCTAAATTGATGGAATTTCGAATGTCTTGCCGTCCCTCTTCCATCATGTGACCTTGTGCCTACGTGGTGGACTTAAGTCGTTCCCGGTGTCCCGTGTGTGTGTTTTGTGTATACTCGGCCACGGCGGTGCATCGGTGCTCGATCGTTCTTTTGGATACGGAACATTTTGTGAGAGTAGGGTCCCTCGGCCCCATCGCTCGATGCCTACACATTTTTATCCCTCGACATGAATGATGCTCGTGTCCTATTATGGCCTCACCCACTGCCAATGCATCGGATTGAGGACCATATAGTGCCCGACGTCGCGAAGGAATGCTACCTGGTTGATCTTGCCAGTAGTCATATGCTTGTCTCAAAGATTAAGCCATGCATGTGTACGTATGAACTAATTCAGACTGTGAAACTGGGAATGGCTCATTAAATCAGTTATAGTTTGTTTGATGGTATTTGCTACTCGGATAACTATAGTAATTCTAGAGCTAATACGTGCAATAATCCATGTTGCTCTGATGATTCATGACAACTCGACGGATCGCACGACCTTTGTGCCGGCGATGCATCATTCAAATTTCTGCCCTATCAACTTTCGATGGTAGGATAGTGGCCTACTATGGTGGTGACGGGTGACGGGGGATTAGGAATTGATTTTGGAGAAGGAGCCTGAGAAACGGCTACCACATCCAAGGAAGACAGTAGGCTCGCAAATTACCAAATCCTGACACGGGGAGGTAGTGACAATAAATAACAATACCGGGCTCTACGATTCTAGTAATTGGAATGAGTACAATCTAAATCCCTTAACGAGGATCCATTGGAGTGCAAGTCTGGTGCTAGCACCCGCGGTAATTCCATCTCCAATATCGTATATTTAAGTTGTTGCAGTTAAAAAGCTCGTAGTTGGACCTAGGGGTGGGTCGGCCGGTCCACCTCACGGTGACCACTGGTCTGCTCGTCCCTACTGCTGGCGATGCGCTCCTGGCCTTAATTGGCCAGGTCGTTCCTATGGCTCTGTTACTTTGA